AGCTGTATATTATCCCTATATTTTTCCTTGTGTTTCAACAGATAATGGTACAGTTGGACAACAAAAAGCACTCAAAACATTTGTTATGCCACACATCCTGCCTTTGAAACTGTGTTGTAATTCATAATAAACAAAATATTACCAACAGATGACACTATATTTGTGCACAACGGACATAAGGGTTAAATCATGCTGAATCTGTGTACAATGGATACTAGGTTGGTGTACAGTACGTGTGATGTAAAATCAGACTGTATCCAAATTAAAATGAGAAAGCGCTTCAGTGATGAAAACAACCACCTGATCAGCAAATAATTGATTTACATTAATTTAATAGTGTCGTTCGCGAGTGATTGAACGAATCTTTCATATGACTCGTGGCTCCTGAATCATATGAAAGATTCGTTCATGTTGAACTCACAAATCACTCACGAATCACTCTCTGCAAACTAATCACTCACTACGAACTAATCACTCTCTGCGAATTAATCACTAATTGTCTCACTGTGAATTGTCTCACTGTTAGGTTTATTCTAAAACTACCTGCATGTCCTCCCTCACTGCATCCATATATCTCCTCTTTGGCCTTCCTCTCTTTCTCCTACCTGGTAGCTCCATCTCTAACATTCTTCTACCAATGTATCCACTGTCCCTCCTCTGCACATGTCCAAACCATCTCAATCTGGCTTCTCTAGCTTTTTCTCCAAACCTTCCTGTCTGTGTTGTCCCTCTAATGACCTCATTCCTGACCCTGTCCATTCTTGTCACTCCTAAAGAGAATCTTAGCATCTTTAACTCTGCCACCTCCAGCTCCTCCTCCTGTCTTCTGCCTATTGCTACTGTCTCTAAACCATACATCATGGCTGGTCTCACCACTGTCCTGTAAACCTTTCCCTTCACCTTAGCTGACACTCTTCTGCCACCGATCACTCCTGACACTTTTCTCCAGCTGTTCCATCCTGCCTGTACTCTATTCTTCACCTCTCTTCCACAGTCTCCGCTGCTCTGAACAGTTGATCCTAAGTACCTAAACTCCTGCACCTTCACCACCTCTGCTCCTTGTAGCCTCACTATTTCACTGTTCTGCCTTTCGTTTACACACATGTACTCTGTCTTGCTGCGACTGACCTTCATTCCTCTTCTTTCTAGTGCAAACCTCCACCTCTCTAGGTTCTCTTCTAGCTGCTGCCTACTCTCACTACAGATCACAATGTCATCTGCAAACATCATAGTCCATGGGGACTCCTGTCTGACCTCATCTGTCAATCTGTCCATCACCACAGCAAACAAGAAGGGGCTCAGGGCCGATCCTTGATGTAGTCCCACCTCCACTTTGAAGTCTTCTGTCCTCCCAACAGCGCACCTCACTACTGTTGTACTATTCTCATACATGTCCTGCACCAAACTAACATACTTCTCTGCCACTCCTGACTTCCTCATACAAAACCACAATTCCTCCCTTGGCACTTTGTCATATGCCTTTTCTAGATCTACAAATACACAATGCAGCTCCTTCTGACCTTCCCTGTACTTCTCCATCAACATCCTCAAGGCAAATATTGCATCTGTGGTACTCTTCCTAGGCATGAAACCATACTGTTGTTCACAAATCTCCACTTCCTGCCTCAACCTAGCTTCAACTACTCGTTCCCAAATCTTCATTGTATGGCTCATCAACTTTATCCCTCTGTAGTTGTTACAACTCTGTGCATCACCCTTCTTATGAATTGGCACCAGAACACTTTTTCTCCACTCATCAGGCATCTTGCCAGTCTCTAAAATTCTGTTAAACAAACCAGTCAGGAAATTTACTGCCACTTCTCCTAAACACTTCCATACTTCCACTGGTATGTCATCAGGACCAACTGACTTTCCACTCTTCATCCTCTTCAGGGCTTTTCTAACTTCATCCTTTCTAACCTGATCTACCTTCTTCCTACTAGTCTCTGGCTCCTCGTTTCTACTTTCCCTTTCATTTTCCTCATTTAACAACTCCTCAAAGTATTCCTTCCATCTTCTCAGCACACTTTCCTCACTTGTGATCACATTCCCCTCTCTGTCCTTAATCAACCTCACCTGCTGCACATCCTTCCCAGCTTGATTTCTCTGTCTCGCCAATCTATACAACTCCTTTTCTCCTTCCTTTGTTTCCAAACTCTCATACAACTCCTCATATGCCTTTTGTTTGGCCTTGGCCACTTCCCTCTTCACCTCCCTTGTCCTCTCTTTGTACTCCAGTCTGTTCTCTTCTGTTCTGTCACTGTCCCATCTCTTCTTCGCTAATCTCTTTCTCTGCACACTCTCCTGGATCTCCTCATTCCACCACCAGGTCTCTTTGTCCTCCTTTCTCTGCCCAGAGGACATACCTAGCACCTTCCTACCTGTCTCCCTCATCACTGCAGCTGTAGTCTCCCAATCATCTGGGAATATCTCAACACTACCCAGAACTGCCCTTACTTCCTTCCTGAAGTCTTCACAACATGTCTCTTTCCTTAGTTTCCACCACTTGATCTTCTGCTCTGTCTTCACTCTCTTCCTTTTTGTCACCTCCATCGTCATTTTACACACTACCATCCGATGTTGTTTGGCTACACTCTCACCTGCCACCACCTTACAGTCTCTAATCTCCCTCAGATTACATCTTCTACATAGAATATAATCTATCTGTGTGGACCTGCCTCCACTCTTGTAAGTCACCCTATGTTCCTCTTTCTTTTGGAAATATGTGTTTACCACAGCCATTTCCATTCTCTTTGCAAAATCTACCACTGCCTGTCCTTCTACGTTTCTCTCCCTAACACCAAACCTGCCTATCACTTCCTCATCTCCTCTGTTCCCTTCCCCTACATGACCATTTAGGTCTGCTCCAATCACCACTCTCTCTCTCCTGGGGATACTCTCTACCATCCAATCTAGCTCCTTCCAGAACTTCTCCTTTTCTTCCAACTCACAGCCCACCTGTGGGGCATAACCACTAACAACATTAATCATCTCTCCTTCTACTTCTACCTTCACACACATCAACCTGTCTGACTCTCTTTTCACCTCTACCACATTTCTTACATATTCTTCCTTTAGGATCACCCCTACTCCATTTCTCTTCCCATCTGAACCATGATAAAACAGTTTGTAGCCTCCTCCAATGTTTCTAGCCTTACTGCCCTTCCACCTGGTCTCCTGCACACACAAAATATCTACTCTTCTTCTCTCCATCACATCAGCTATTTCTCTACTTTTCCCTGTCATTGTACCTACATTCAAAGTTCCAAACTTCAGACTAATACTTCTATTCTTCATCTTTTCTCTTTTTCTCCTAACCAAGAAAAAGGTTGTCATATTCTAACATATATGACGACAAAGTAACAACACAAACGACGTCTTGATTTTTTACTTGCAAGGGGAGAGTGCAGCTTACTCTTCTGGCAGCTTCCTCATCAACTCCGAGTAGCCACACCCTTCCTCTGCACTTTTATTGAGTTTATAAAAGTATCAGATTACATATCACGTGATCATGTGTGAGTATATGAATGGATATGGAGTAAGACGGTTGGTGTGAATGGGGGTGTGACTGTGTCTGGTAATTTCTCCATCAGTCTTGAGCACACTAGATTATAATATGAGAAGCAAACAGTTTTTTAAAGTGACAGTACAGCATGAAGCAATGATAATAAATTTAATTCTTCCAACACTCACTAATTGTCAAATTGAGTTTTACATTCACTTGTCTTCTACCAGGATTTTTCATTTGTGATAGACTGCTCGGGCTGCACAGATTTGTTCTATCAGATTCGTTCTCACAGAGTCGTTCAAAAATTCGTTGTCACAGATTTGTTTTCTTAGATTCATTTTCGCATAGTCGTTTTCGTAGATTCGTTCAAAGCTTCGTTCTCGCAGATTCGTTTCATTTGTCACGTGAGAGGCAGCTCGGGTCTCTTTTGCTCTCATTCATCTTAGTCACTGTTACGCGGTTAAACAACAATGACAGGGAGGATGAAGGACAAGTCATTGTGGTGTGTTTTTCTTTCTTAGGTTTTCACATGGTATGAATTGCTTATGGCATTTTGTGTACTTTGTAGACTCTGTCAGCGGAAGCAAACCATGTTGCCTTAAGTATTTAGTGTCGGAGAACCGCAGCCTTCTTTACAACGCCCACAATAGGGCTAAAGCGCCACCTGCTCTAAAACGAATGAAATGATTCGTTCACGACTCGTTCATTTTACTGTTCGAGAGTCAAAGATCCGAATCAGTAAAAAGAGACCATCACTAGTTGGTAAGACTGCATCAAAATATTCATCATCTCATTTTCACATACCAGAGAGGAGTGTATTAGCTTTGTGCTAGTAGGGTCATTCCGTTTACTTTGGAAGTTGCTCATCCACCAGTCACAGATGACATGTACAAAGTTAGGTGTGTTCTATTCCAAAAAAGGTGGAAAATGATGAAAACATTAAAGAATTTTTATGCTAGCCCTTTCAGAGGACAACTTCAGATCAAGTGTGCAGATATCAGACCCTATGTACTGCCAATAGAAATTAGTGCTAAAGAAACAGTATAATTTTTGGAGAGCCTTCAAACTCAACTGATAAGTTGTTGGCTTTTTGCAGACACTTCAAATGTAAGGAATCTAGTTTTCTCAACCTGAGCTGTTGTAAAAAAAAAAAAAAAAACGTGTGCCAAATGTGGTAGCCTTCAGAGCCGGGGTCTACAACCTTTTGTTCTCCAAGAGCTACTTTTACAAAATAAAAATGTCTGAGAGCTACTCATTTTGTGTAACATTTATTTTCATAGCTCAATTCGAACACATAAAAACTTCATAAGCTTTCTTTGCTTAGACATTTACAATATGTTACTATCCACATATCACGTTTTTAATTTAAACATCACTAAAATATTATTATTACTATTATTGTTGATGATGATGTTGTTATCTTTTTCAGCTCCGCAGGGAATATAATTAATTTTTACTTAAGTATAAACAGTGCACAATTGGCTGTATGAAATACTCCTACAGTGCAGGAGAGGAGTAATACGTCACTACATACCGGATGTTGTGAGTCTGCATCGAGACCACGAAGAAGAACTAGCGGAAGTGGCATAACAGTCGCGTGCAATAACAACGCTAGATTTTGGGGAGTTTTTTTTTTCTTTACATATGTGGTAAGTAGATTTCCAGCATTCGAATTTTCATAGTTTGCAAGTATAAGCCTTCATGGTTAAAGTAACACCCCCGAAAATCCCGTTGTATTACGATTCTAGGTGTGCGTTGGGTGTGTAAAGTCATACACATTTCAATGCTAACTAATGGCTAAGAATGGTTTCAAATATGACAACATGTAAGAAAATATCACAATAATAACTGCTGGAAACTGCTTGTTTAGAAAAATCATCGTACTAATATTTATCTTCTTAGTCCTAGCTTCTTTTTTAAAACAAAAAACTTTTTCCCCATACAAATTATTTTTTGTTTTTGTTTTTGCTGTTGTACAACATATTTGGAATCATTTGCATTAAATTTGGCGAAATTGTAAATGTATCTGCATGACCTTTAACAACGTGTCGCCTTCTCTCATGTGCCAGCTTTGTTGTATTGTGCAGTGTATTCTTAAATAAGCGTCTTGAAATCATTTTTTTGCCTCAAGTCTTTTGTTAACAGATGTAGCATGTACTGAGCTGCCTCCGTGAGCACTATGGCAACTCAGAGAGTGCTCCCACAGAGCAAAGAGACGCTGTTACGGAACTACAACAAAAGACTGAAAGATGACATCAGGTCCATCCTGGACAACTTCACAGAAATAATCAAAACTGCAAAGGTGCAATAAATACACTGCCACTCAGTCTCTTTTCTCTAAAACTTTTTTTCTTATATATATATATTTATTTTACATTAATCACCAGTTATAATGAGATGATGAATAATGTTTTTTGCTTATTATGTTTGGACTTGCACACCAGTCTCTTCAATCATTTGCACTTGTGCTATGTGATGTTCATATTCTGAATCCAGATTGAAGAAGAGACTCAGGTTTCTCGGGCAACTCAAGCAGAACAAGACCATTATGAATTGCATGTCAGAGCAGCCAACATTGTAAGTATTTTGCTACATCATTTGTGAATTGGTTAATGTTACTTGTATTTTCACATCATGTACTGTATCACTGAACTACTATAGTTTTGAGTTCCTGGATATTCTACATAATGTGTAGTCGTTGACTGTGGTTTTCTGGAACTATAGCATTTGTTTTTCAATTTTGTGTCTATTTCTGTGATGTCGTATTAGGTCCGTGCAGGCGAGTCCCTGATGAAGCTGGTATCTGACCTGAAGCAGTTCCTAATCCTCAATGACTTTCCTTCTGTAAATGATGCCATCAGCCTCCAGAACCAAAATCTGCGCTTGCTGCAAGAGGAGTGTGACAAGAAGCTAACCTCGCTGCGAGATGAGATTGCTGTTGACCTGTATGAGCTAGAGGAAGAATATTACTCCTCCAGGTACAAATAGGCTTATATTTATCCATCCCACCAATCCACTTCTGTCCCACACCCAGCACCACATACTGTCTCACACTTTCACCATTCATTGCTCAACAACCTGCTGGCTTCTGTGTCATGGTCACCTCTTTGTTATCATCATAATCGCATATCACTGCTGCGGTTCACTGAATGACTTTACATAAATTATTTTTCATTGGTTATTACAATTACCACACATTTATCTCATGTGATGTCTGTCCTATAAACGGGGCAGTTTATATTTTAGTTCTGTTTGAACATGAGTGGCAGGGGATGGGTGAAGTAGATGGGTGTAGACTGTCAGTGTTGTGAATAGAAAGCACTGTTTTAATTGTTGTTTTGTTCATCAGTAATATTGAAAGAGGCTTAAAAACACATTTTAGTGAACAGTGGAGGTAAACCTGGGGCGGGGGTGCAAACACCAGAAAACATTGTTCAAAGAAATGTTGCATGTAAACAGAACACAACTTATAGAGTTAAATTAACAAAACAATGTACAGATTAACAGATTTTTAAAAAGATAGTGGTTTTTAAGTATTTATGTTATATCTAAACCGTGATCACATTTAGTTCATTCCAAACCGACAACAGTTGTTGTTATTTATTAAAAGCAAAATTTTAAAGAAATTTGTCTATATCTTCTTCTATCTTGTAAAACCAATGAAATATTCCTGTCATTCACACACAATGTAGCTGAATGTGTGTATGATATAATGCCAGTTGTTTTAAGATCCCAAATAAAATCTAAAAAAAGATAAATAAACCAAAGACAAAACACTGTAGTAGTGTGTCTTTTCTGCAAGAAAGTGTTACAAGTGTCTTGGTTGTATTGGTAGCATGTTGGGCGAGGGCTGTTTTTCCTTGCATTGCAATTACTCTTTTTTTCACCTCCACTGGCAACTTACTTTGCTTTTGCGGAACCTAAAATCAACAGTTGTTTTGTGACACCTCCAAATAGTTCTAAATTAATCAACATGATGTTTTTGTCTGTTAATTCTTTGTGCTTCTGCATTACCTTCATGCTTCCATTGTCTGTGTGGCATCATGTGTCTGCTCTGTTTGTATGGATAGCTTATTCTGATCTGCTGCTCTTGTCTGCTCCTCTCTTTCTGTGCTGCACTGACTCTTTGCCTCCTACCGGTTTCTGCCCCACAAAAGCTACGGTCAGTGGGACAATAACAACCTGCCACTGTGCGAGGCCTTCAGACAGCGTGACAGTTTGGCCTCACCAGGCAGCAGCTGCAGTTCTACGCAGGGTGATAGAGAGGACGTGGATGGGCAGCTGTCACAGGAGACAAACCCCCAACATCACCTCAATGGACACAGGACTCCATTGACAGAGAAATTGTGAGGAGGAAACTGAACCAATCTGTGTTTATTCCAAAAAGCACTGATAAAAACAAGAAAAGTGATTCAGAGTTTATCATTTTTAAGCAAATTTGTTTTTGGAAGTAATATAACACGGAAACAATAAAAAATAAATGTTATTAAAGCTGGGACACAATTCAATGTGGAAAAACATTCGTTTTCAAAACTTGTGGTCTCAGATGATTTCAATTTAAACAACAGAATTTAAGGCATGTGCTGCAAACATGACAGATTTATATACAGTATTTACAAAGCAAATCTACTTATAGTGGTTTTAGGAAACCTCTAATAGTTCCATCCATCCATCCATCCATCCATCATCAACAACCACCGCTTATCCGGGTCGCGGGGGCAACAGTTTGAGCAGGGACACCCAGACTTCCCTCTCCCTCGACACTTCCTCCAGCTCTTCTGGGGGGACCCCAAGGCGTTCCCAGGCCAGCCGAGTGACGTAGTCGCTTCAGCGTGTCCTAGGTCTTCCCCTAGGTCTCCTCCCTGAGGGACGGCACCCAAGGAAGGCGTCCGGGGGGCATGCAATGTAAATGCCCAAGCCACCTCAGCTGACTCCTCTCGATGTGGAGGAGCAGCAGCTCTACTTCGAGCTCCTCTCGTGTGACAGAGCTCCTCACCCTATCTCTAAGGGAGCGCTCTGCCACCCTGCGGAGAAAGCTCATTTAAGCCACTTGTATCCGGGATCTCGTTCTTTCGGTCATGACCCAAAGCTCATGACCATAGGTGAGGGTAGGAACGTAGATTGACCGGTAAATCGAGAGCTTCGCCTTTCGGCTCAGCTCCTTCTTCACCACAACGGACCGATAGAGCGAGCGCATTACTGCGGCCGCTGCACCGATTCGCCTGTCAATCTCACGCACCATCCTACCCTCACTCTTGAACAAGACCCCAAG